GGGAGCGGGGAAGGCAATTCTCGGGCTTATTTACATCTCTGTGATTGTGGAGGTTGCCTGCTCTCTGAACTCTTGTATTCCTAGCAAATGTTTTGTTTTTCCAACTGTTCATGTGGCTGTTTTATAGACATAAGCAAAATCCATGGGGGTTTCAACAGATACTGCCACTTTTGTGGGGTGGGTAAAAAATGGGGAGTGTGGACAATTTCATTCAGCCTCCTTTTTTTTTTTTTCTTCTTGGTCTCTGGTCACTTTTACTTACGTTTCCCTCTCTCCAGACAGAACAGTTTGCAGAGATCTGAAGCACACACTCCCCCAGTGAATCCCAAATCATGAACAACAGACTGGCTAATGGCTCTGAAGCCGGGCTCCCTCTTGCTGGGCTGCTTCCTTCTCCACGCCCTGCCCCCGTGGGAACCTCTGTCCCTGACCAGTCCCGGCAGAGCCCCTCCAGGGAATTAGTCGGTGGCTCTTGCCTTTTAAGATCTTCAGCTTCTCTGGCTAATGAATGCTTCCTTTTACTCTTGGTTTTCTTTAACAAAACATTGGTCACTTGTACACTTGAGCTTGTCATTTGTTCCGGAGAAATTTAGCACTGTCTCTTCCTCATTCAAGGCTCAGGGGGCTGAGAAAAAAGGTAGGTGCCCCTCTTTGATCAATTCATTGCTGCCTGACTTCAGGTGGCCATTCCTGGGAAATAGATGGTCTCTGTCCTTATTGCGCTCTTGCTCTCTCCCACCCAGAGGTCCTGTCAGCTCTCCCCAGCTCAGACGGATTGTGCCCAAATGCCCAAAGGTGTTTGGAGAGGGTGGGACTCAGGCCTTCCTGCCCAGGACTCATGGCTCCCCTGATCTGTCCCCACACAGGGAAGAGTGGATGCGGGCCATCCAGATGGTCGCCAATAGCCTCAAGCAGCGGGGCCCAGGCGAGGACCCCATGGAATACAAGTGTGGCTCCCCTAGTGATTCTTCTGCGGCTGAAGAGATGGAAGTGGCAGTTAGCAAGGCACGGGCCAAGGTGGTAAGTGCTTGGGGGGCAGAGCTGCCAGTAAGTGAGCACGCCTCCCCCACAGTGTTGGCCCTGTCACCATGCAGAGTGTGAGGGGCCCCGGCCCTGCCATGACTGCCCTGTAGCATGGTGGAGATGCCCCAGGGCTGCTCTGTGCCCACCTCCTCCTGAGACGTCATTACGATGTGTCCACCCCTCGCCTTAGCCAGTTTAATTTAGTGGATAGAGCGTTGGCCCTTGGACTGAAAGGTCCTGGGTTCGATTCTGGTCAAGAGCACGTATCTCGGTTGCAGGCTCTATCCCTGGCCCTGGTTAAGGCTGTGTGGGAAGTAACCAATTGATGTGTCTCTCTCACAGAGATGTTTCTTCTCTTTGTCTCTCCCCCTCCCTTCCACTCTCTCTAAAAATATATATATATCCATATCCTCAGATGAGGATTAACAACAACAAGAAAAGACCCACCCACCCCACATCAGAGCCCTCCCAGGGCCTCATGTCTGGGAGAGAGAGACCTGGTCTGAAGGCCACTTCAGAACCAGCAGTTGCTGCCCAGAGCCTCCCTTCCTGCTCACGCTGGAGCATTTTGGCAGCAGTGTCCTTTGATTTTCCTTTTCTTTTGTGAAAATTTTCTCCCACGGCTGTGTGCCAAGTTGCACTGATGGGCCTGCTCTCTCCCCACCCCTGGCAGACCATGAATGACTTTGACTATCTCAAGCTCCTCGGCAAGGGCACCTTCGGCAAAGTCATCCTGGTGCGGGAGAAGGCCACCGGCCGCTACTACGCCATGAAGATCCTACGGAAGGAGGTTATCATCGCCAAGGTGGGTGCTCCCCAGGCTGCCCTTGGCTGGCCTGGGACACACACACACACACACACACACACACACACACACACACACACAACACTTACTTGTGCCTTCTGCTGCCAACGTCTCATTTCTCCGCCAACCTATTCCTCTGGTTCAGGCCTGTAAATCTCCAGGCTGGCCTGCCTGCTGAGCCCCCACCCCACGCTCTGGGCGCCTGGGAAGGGACGTGGAGAGTCTGACTGGTCTCATCCAGTCGGCACTGTCAGGGCCTGAAAGGAGGTGTCCCCATAGGCCGTGAGGGTGGGGGCTTGGCTCAGGGTGTCTCAGTAGGAGGCTGGGCCAGGAATGGAATTCTATTCCTTTTTTCTTTAAATGGAAAATTCCTAACATACACAAAATTTTTAAAAGAAAAATAAATATATTGGACTCCCATGTAGCCTTCATTCAGCATCAACAATTATCAACATTTGGCCAATCTTGTTTTGTTAGCTCTGTCCTCCCCCTTCTTTCTCCTGGAGTATTTTAAGGCATGTTTTAGACAGCATAGAATTTACCCATACGTACTTAGAGATGTATCTTCAACAGGTGAAGATGTTAAATACTATAATTGTGGTACTGTGACCATATTCAACAAGATGAACAAACCCAATGTCATTGGTCCAAGGCAGGGTTTCTCAGCCTCAGACATTTGGGCTGACTTCTCTGCTATGGGGTCATGCTTTGTACTACGGGTGTGGAGCAGTGACCCGTCTCCACCCAGGAAGGCGGTAGCTCCCTTCCGCCCTTCCCCCTGAGTTGTAACAATCAAAGATGCCTTCAGACATTGTTACCAATTACGCCCCGGGCGTAGACTTTCCCAGAGGTGGTTCAGGCCTGTCAGCAGCTCTTGGTGACTGCGGAGCCTGTGTTAGAGGCAGCGGGAGGGCCTGTCCAACCACAGCCGGGCCCACTCTGTTCTGGTGGGTCCGAGGAGGGGCCCAAGAGTCTGCTTTTCTCCAGGTTCCAAGGCAACACTGATGCTGCCCCTGTGGGGACCACACAGAACCGTTACTCCACGGCCTGGAGTCCTAATTCTAGATCCAGTTTTTCTTCTGGCAAGAACATTTATAGGTGGTGATTCCCACGGCCTGTGACATCACCTCAGGGGTCTCATAATGTCTGCTTGTTCCCTCTTGGGGATGTTAGAGTTGTTCTGTGGGCTCGGGAGGTGACAGCCTGATCCGTTCATTGTAAAGTCCCCACCACCCTCTCCCCTTGTGGTTTGGAGAGCAAACCACTGAATGTCCTTGCCGTGGTCCCTTGTTCCTTAGGGCTTGTGGATGGTAATGTGCCACTCCTGCCCTTCTCGCTCTGCATAATGGCTAGGAGTGGGGTTGTCGTTCACCCATCCCTTAGGTTGGGGGCATGCACGCTGTGGCCCACCAGCCCCTCACCTGGCCTCTGTCTGTCTGCAGGATGAAGTCGCCCACACAGTCACCGAGAGCCGGGTCCTCCAGAACACCAGGCACCCGTTCCTCACTGTGAGTGGGACTCCCTCAGACCTGTGCACATGGGAGCCTCCAGGCCAGCCCCTTTGGACAGACTCAGGGAACAAGCCCAGCCCTGCTGCTGGGAAGCACAGACTTAGTGTCGGCAGGTGACTGGGCCAGGTGTTGCTGGGCTCCCCAGGTGGCCTGAACCAAAACCCCAGAGGTGGCAGCTTCTTCCTAGACAATGGCGTCCTGTCAGCACCTCAGACGACAGGTGAAGTGACATTGCAGGGGCCCAGGAGAGCGTGGCTGCGTCTCTATGAGTCTGAGGCACTTAGCCCAGCTGGTCACAGTGGGAACGTTATTTTTTGTTTTTATTTACAATGTAATACAGATGTATCATTGTGCTGCCTGTCAACTTACGCTGAGCAGACGCCTCTTTGGGCTACAGCTATTAGTTAAATGGACCAGGTTGAGGATGGCTTATGGGCTGTTTCTGTACCTCGGTTGCTGTCTAGGTGTTCTGTTAAGCCACAATACTTGTTCAAATAAGATCTTACGAGGTACTTCCAGGCAGAAGACAGAAAACAGTGGAGTTCAACCAAGGGTTCTGAGCCACCCTCTTTAGAGCTCCTGAGAGCAGTGTGAGAACTACTCTTTGTTGGCAGATCTCCTGTCCAAGCTGTCTTTGGGGTTGGCTCCAGGTCAGGATCAGCTCCAACTCCCAGCCAGCAGACCTCATGTGTGTGTGTGTGTGAGAGAGAGAGAGAGAGAGAGAGAGCGCTTAATGCATTTGACTGTAAAATGGAGGAGAAAGAGAGATGTGAAATGGCTCTGCTTGCTCAAAATAGTCTCTCTCCTGACCTTGCCTCTTGGAAGCTCAGTGGCAGGCAGAGGACAGATTGTTCAGCATAGTAACCTCTCCCGGCCCTCAGAGCCATGAGCCCACTCACACAGCCCAAAAGGCGAAGCTGAGGGTTGAACCCCCGACTGCCCGACTCCCATGGCCAGGCCAGGGCGGGAGTGTCTAGGCTGAATCGGCAGTGCCCCAGCCACTTTCCTTCTCCGCAGGCGCTGAAGTACGCCTTCCAGACCCATGACCGCCTGTGCTTCGTGATGGAGTACGCCAACGGTGGGGAGGTGAGCCGTGCTGCCCCGCCTGGATTTCTGGGTATCTCGTTCCCAAGTGTGGGGGGAGGGAGATGGAGGGTAGAGGGAGACTTACCAGGGGTCAGCTGGTCCCGTCCTCCGCTCCTTGAGGAAGGCATCGGCATCTTCATTTTACAGGTGGGGAAACAGCTCAGAGAGGTTAGCGGCTTGCTCAAATTCACACAGCTAGTGGGTAGGATACAAACCGAGTCCCGCGCTGTGGCCAGGGCTGTGAGGGAGATTGGATGACAGTGTAGAGGATGTTCTTGGAGGATGACCTGCAAAGAAAGCGTATGCAGGCCTTCTGCTTTCCCGATTCTGTTGCAGAGCAGTCAGCCCCCACTCCATGACCCTTACTCCTCTCTCACACGGTGTGACTCCCTGGCTCATGATCCTGGGCTTCATCTGTCCCTTGTGGTCTCACAGCTGTGGCCACTTGCTCATGACTCGTGTCCTCTGCTTCCTCGCTGTCACTCCCTCATCCACTATCCCCTTCATGCAGGATGGCCCAGGACTGTCCCCTGCTCTCCCTGCGGTGTCATCCTTCACGTGAACTCTTATCTCAGTTGGTCCTTTTTGGTTGTCACTTGCCGGTTCATGGAGTAGATGTGACGTTTTCACTGGCCCTCCAGGCAGGGTTCCATCCTTCCCTCCTCTGGGCCAGGGGCCTGATGTCCTGCCCCCCTTTCCCTCCTCCGGCAGCTGTTCTTCCACCTGTCCCGGGAGCGCGTCTTCACGGAGGAGCGGGCCCGCTTTTATGGTGCAGAGATCGTCTCGGCCCTGGAGTACCTGCACTCAAGGGATGTGGTGTACCGCGACATCAAGGTGAGTGTGTGGTCGCCTCCTGTGGAGGGCCCAGGCTGGCCCAGGGCACACATGCAGGACCCACGCCAGGGAGCCAGGGAGGCTGTCCATGTGCCTGTGTCTAGCTCCCTCTGGGGCTCAAACCCTTCCGCTGTGGCCCCTAGTAGTGATTCCACAGCAGGCAGCCCTGCGTGAAGTCTCTTCTGAGCCTCTTGTGAGCACAGGCTGCTGAGCAGTGTAGGGTGTAAATTGGTACAGGCACTTTAGAAGGCAGTTTGCAGAATCCACCAGCAGTGGACATGTGCACACCCTGTGAGCCAGCCATTGTGCCCTAGGCATATGCACACAGGAACAGGTACCTGTGTGCACCTCAAAATGTGGACACACTCCTAGCAGCACTAGTCATACTAATCCCTGGTGTCCGCTGTTGGAAAATGGATAAAGTCCGGGTGGTGTGTTCGCATACTGGGGCTCCACAGCAGTTAAAGAGACCACACTTCAGCCACACACAGCAGCGTGGACGCGTCTCACAGACTGACGTTGGGAAAGCCAGGACAGACAGGCGAATCTGTGTTGATGACAGGCGTATGTATAGGCAGGAGAAACTGCAAAAGAGAGCAAGGAAGTAAAATTACTTCTCTGTCCGGAGCAGGGGATGGTTAGTAATAGGGAAGGGGCACATGGGGTGTCTGAGAGACTGGAAGTGATCTGTCTTGACTTGGGGGTTTTGCACAAAGGCCCACTAAATGGCCCATTGTGTGAAGCTTAGGAAAAAGGAGAGAGATACTGTCCCTCACATCCAAAGTGGGGGAGGGGAGGCAGGGTGGGGCAGGACCCAGCCCTGTTTTTTTTCCAGCTCCCCTGGGGGTTGGCCAGGGACTGGGGAGGTGTGAGCCTCAGAGGGTGAGGGCTTAACCCTGTGCTGGGGTGTATCCCATAGCTCAGCCTGGAGCCCATGATGTGACAGCCCCCTCCAGGGCAGGGCTGGACACCTAGGGTTTCAGGGAGATGGCAGGAAGCCTGGGAAGACATGTTCCTGATACACTGACTTTTCCTACAGCTGGAAAACCTCATGCTGGACAAAGACGGCCACATCAAGATCACTGACTTTGGCCTGTGCAAAGAGGGCATCAGTGATGGGGCCACCATGAAAACCTTCTGCGGGACCCCCGAATATCTGGCACCCGAGGTGTCTGGGGCTGTGATGCCGAGGGAGGCGGGGCCCCGGGACCGGATGCTTCCCCCACCTAGACGCTCTGAGGGCCGGGCTCCAATTCCTTAGATTGCCCTCCCCAGCCCCAGGCAGGGCCTTGTCCCCACTGGACCAGTCAGCTCCTAGGCCCCAGAGTATGGTCCTGGCCCCTCATTGCCCCTCCCCATCAGGTCCTGGAGGACAACGACTACGGCCGGGCTGTGGACTGGTGGGGGCTGGGCGTGGTCATGTACGAGATGATGTGCGGCCGCCTGCCCTTCTACAACCAGGACCACGAGCGCCTCTTCGAGCTCATCCTCATGGAGGAGATCCGCTTCCCGCGCACGCTCAGCCCTGAGGCCAAGTCCCTGCTGGCTGGGCTGCTTAAGAAGGACCCCAAGCAGAGGTGAGGGCTGGTGACTGCCCTGCGCTGCCCAGCACCACCTGCTGCCACTGTCCCCCCAGCCCGAAGGGGCAGTGTCCACAGGCACACGCACTGGTGGGTGTGCTGTGTGGTCCCCACAGCCTCTGATAGTCCCCACAGCTGGCACTCGGAGCACTCCCTGGGGGCAGGCCTCTCTTTAGTTCTCTGCCCGCACTACCTTGTTTTATGGGGATGCTGAGGAGCAGGGCAACCCCGATCTGGCCTTGGGTGGCCCAGTCATACGTGGCAAAGCCGGGATGTGAGGTGGCCAAATGCCCTCTCAGTTCACATTCTGGTCTTGGCCCAAGTTGCAGTCTCCTGGCTCTGGCCCTAGGCACGAGTTCCCGCCTGGCCTCACTTTCCTCCTCTGTGAGGGGGAGGTCTGTGGCCGGGACAGGCTTATTAAGGTTGTTCAGGGCCTGCATGTCACAGGCCCAGGCCTGCACCGAAAGTGTCTCCCAGAACCTGGCTGCCCCGGGAGGCGGGTGCTCATGGCCGTCTCTGCCCAGGCTCGGCGGGGGGCCCAGCGATGCCAAGGAGGTCATGGAGCACAGGTTCTTCCTCAGCATCAACTGGCAGGATGTGGTACAGAAGAAGGTGAGTGCCACCACCCGCTGCTGCCAGCAGGAGCTCGGCCCCTGTGGGTGACCTTGGCCCGAGCCGCCTGGCCTCAGGGTCCTGAGCCTGGGCTCCTCTCCTCCGCAGCTCCCACCGCCCTTCAAACCTCAGGTCACATCCGAGGTCGACACCAGGTACTTCGATGATGAGTTCACTGCCCAGTCCATCACAATCACACCCCCGGACCGCTGTGAGTGCCTGAGGCCCCGCATCCCGTGGGCTGGCCGGGCGGTGGAGGGCGTCTGCTGCTGACCCACTTCTCCGGGAGGGAGGAAGCTCGCAGGGTTTTTGCTGTTAGTCGTCTGTGGGCCCAGTGAGGCTCACCACAGCCACTGGGTCCCCCCCGTTCCAGTTGTCCAGGCAGAGGTCTGGGTAGGAGATGCTTGGGGAGTCGTCAGTACCGAGATGGCAGGTCCATAGTTGTATTCCCAGACCACCCAGGTCTTTGGAGCCGGATTATTCATTGACTCTGTAGCTGTTTGAGTTCTTACTCTCACCTGCCCAGTGCTAGGCTCTGCTGGAGACAAGGCAGTGATGGAGTCAGCCCTGGGCCTTGCTTTCGGGGAGTGCTCAGTCCAGGTGGGGTGACAGCCCAGGGTGGTCAGGACAGTGTGTAGGAGCACAGGGACTGGGGAAGCCCAGAGGAAATGCTTGGCTGCGGGTCAGGGAGGGCTTCCTGGAGGGGGAGACATGGCAGCTGAGACTCAGTCCTGACAGAAGGAATGGCTGTGGGACGTCTAGAAATGAGAGCGTTGCAGAGGTCAGAGTAGATGGGGAGGGGAGAGGCGAGGGGATGGGTGAGCAGGAGGGCCTTGGCCCCTGGGAGGAGTGGGGATTGTACAGGGGCTATGGAAGGGCTTTTTTAGGAAGAGGAACGGGGTTGCATCAGGGATTTAGAAAGACCTTTGGCTGCATGTGGAGGGTTTGTTGTGGGTGGGAGTGGTGGCCAGGGCAGGAGCTGCTAAAAGAAGTGTGGGCAGACCTCGAGGTAGACTGAGGTGTGGAAGGGGAGGAGGAGGAGGAGAGCAGGGAGCTGGTGGGATGCTGAGGTGGCTGAGTGAGCAGCTCCGAGACCCTGGAGCCAGGGCTATGACCAAAGGGTGTCTGTCAGGGAGGAAGTCTGGTGGACACCTCACCAGCTGGAGTTTCTGCCTGTAGTCCTTCCTGAGGTTGATTCCCCTCTGTCCCCCTCCCCGGGAGTCTGGCCGGGGTGCTGGGCCCTCTGAAAGCCCGTCTTCCCAATCCACCTCCACTGACCCCTGCAGATGACAGCCTGGGCTCTCTGGACATGGACCAGCGGACTCACTTCCCCCAGTTCTCCTACTCGGCCAGCATCCGCGAGTGAGCAGTGCCTGCTGCTGCCGCTGGGGCAGGGGGGGCTTTGTCTTTTTGTTTTTTTGGTCTTTTTTGTTTGCCTCTCCATCCCTCACCCCTTACCCCCATTTCTAGTTTTCAGCCCTCTGCCAGCCTCCTCTCAGTGGACCCAGTGGCCCTGCCTCCAGGATCCTGTCCTGCCCTCACTTTTGCGCCCAGATCAGGACTGGGGAGACTCTGCCGCTGCCCCAGGACCTGGCCTTTGGGCAGTTGGGAAGATCTTGGGTTTTGATCAACACAAGCCCCAGTGAGGAGCGAAAGCCGGGGGGGGGGGGGGGGGGGGCTGCCTGAATATTGGCTGGGCGCCCACGGCTGCCTGCTCTGTGCTGTGCTGCCCTCAGAGGTGCGGACAGCGCTCTGGGCTGCCTTCCATGCCTGTCATTAGGCTCCGAGTGGCCTGGTGAGGGGACAGCCCAGCCCCCTCCCCACCCAGCAGCAGAAAAGCAGTAATGTCCAGGCCCAGGTGGGGGCCTTTGGGAGCTGCAGGAGCAGAGGTCCAGGGCTCCCTCGGGCTGGGGTCGATTACCTGGAGGGGAACCCAGAGCGGCCAAGGGGATGGACGCTGCCTCCCTGCGCCCCACGCTGCTCTCCTGACCCTGTGGACGAAGTAGGAGGAACATGTGGGGCCTAGCCTTCCCACCCCAAGCCCCGTGCCTTACCAGGGCTTCCTTCCAGCCAGCCTTACCTCCTGCTGGACCTGGGCCTGGCCCCTCCCAGAATGGGGGCCAGGATTGCCCCTTCTCTCTGCCTGGGGTGGAGGGGTGCCAGCCTCGGCTGTTACACATCTCGCACCGAGACAGTATTGGGCCCCATGAACTTGGTTGAGGAGGGGGCAGGGATGGGTGTCTCTGGTACGTACTGGGGTGGGGGCCTCTGAGAAGGAGGCTCCAGGCCACCCCCCTCCCCCAGCCCCACGTTCTGCAGCCTTAAGGTGAACGTGTCAGTGCTATGGGCACTCGTGTGCGTGCGTGCCTTGGATTGTGTGCTGTTGGTGTCCTTGTGCATCTGAGACAGTGCACATGGGGTGTGTGTGTGTGCATGTGTGCTGGGTATGTATGTGTGAGAGCAAGCGTGTCCCGGCCTCAAGTGTGTGGTGTGTGTGCGTATGTGTGTGGACTCGGGCCCCTGGCCCTGACCCCAGCATTTCTTCCCAGGGGAAGGGTGGCTGGCCTAGTGTGAGAGCCACACGCGAGGTCCACTTGCTGCCCTGTCTCTCCCCCTTCCCCACCAACATCTCCGGGTGTTTGGAATGTAACTTTTGTGGTTTTGATCTTCCCACCTCCTGTACTAGGTAGTTCACCGAGAGACATCTGGGGTGGGTGGGGCTGGTTTGGGGGGTGGGAGGTCTCTTCTTTTTGTGTGTGTATGTCATTTATCTGACAGTTCTCCCTCTTCCCCACTGGCCTTTCCCTGTTCCTCATATTTGTACGGTACAAGCAATAAAGACTCTTTCAGACCGGGCCCACCACCCTGGGCCTTTCCTTGCTTATGGAGTGGCCCCAAGTGCCAGCTGCCTCCTGCTCCCATTGCTGTTAGGTAGGGCCCTTTTAAGTTGTGCAGGCAGAGAAGGCGTCCTGGGGGGAGGTGGTGTCAAGCTCAGGCTGGAGAGGGAGGGGACTGCTGGGAGGGAAGCTGTTGAGTTTAGGAAACGGGGCCTGTGGTGGGGGGTGGTGGACAGAGGTCATCCCAGGCGCTCGGAAACTGCTTAGGCAGAAAGGGGGGGAGGGCCAGGTGGCTCTGAACAAGGAGGATGCGTGAGGGGTCACTGAGCCCTGTCAGGAGTGTGAGGGGGAGCATGTTCACTTCCCGAAGTGCTTGAGCCCTAGAGCAGGCATTGTCCGTGCATCTGCATCCCCCAGCCTCCATTGATGCTAAACTGGGGAGCCTCGAGGCCCCTCGTTCCCCCACAGATTCCTTGGTATAACGGGATTTGTGGTGGCTGTCAGCTGGGAGCACCTCAGATTGGGTCACAGCCCCTCCGTCTGGGAGTCCTCTGACAGCTGGTTCCCATGCTTGAGTCACTCTTCCCAGACCTTGGGGCCAGGGCTGCCATGCTGCGCACAGGCGAACTTCAATCCGATTTTGCCAGAAGCTATTAGGGCTTCCCACACAGGGAGTTTTTGAGATCTTAAGTGAGGGTAGCAGAAAAGTTGAGTCCAGGAAGTCTGTTACCTGCGACCAAGACTCGAGGAATTTTTTGGATTTTTTCCTTATTTGTTATGGACATTTTTTAAATCATAAAAGTATGCCTTGGTGGTAATCAGATAAACAGGCTTATGAAGAAAAGCCTTTTCTTCTCCCCTCTAGTCACAGTCTGAGGGGCCGGTGCTAGAGAGTCCTTTCAGGAACTCACTCAGCTCTCCGTGTGGTCTGTCCCTGGGGACCTGTCACAGTCCCTGGACGGACTCCTGTAGGTTAATCGGCTGCTTCCTCCGTTGAACTTAATGTCCTTAGATGTTCTTATTCCTGTAGGACTTCTCCCAAACTGGGAATTTTAGGTGAAAGAATTTTAATAAAATTTTAACAATTAGAAAAATTAAATTTTGAGTCATCTGTTTTTTGTCATGTGCATGTAGAAAATGTCACAAGTTTTGTGTGTGTATATAAAGAAAAATGCAACAAAACCAAAGTGTGCAGAAGGAAGTGAGTCACCCGATCCCAGACCTGCGGCCCTGACTGTGGGTCTCACATTACCTCCTGCACAGATGGGCGTGGCATCGCGAAGGGCTGGCTCCTCCTCTTCTGTACACCTCTCCTCCCAGGTAACCAGGCCACGCCCCTGGGCTGTGTGCTGCCACATGGAACCCGCACTCCCACCACCGTGTGTGCATTCAGAGGCTGTGTGGGGTCACCGGTGAAAATGAGGTCTTTTTTAGTCCCTTCATTTGGAGGAACTCCTGGTGGACATTGCTGTGATGCTTCCCAGTTGCTTCACAAGGTTCTTCAGGGTGGACACACCTCAGCTGATGCTGCCACCCCTGTGGACGAGGATTTACTTGTTTCCAGGTTTTGTTTGCTTTTTGCTGCTACCCGCAGCACTGAAGTAACCATAACAGTCCACTCTCACTGTGCTTGTGCTTGTATTTCTGTGGCCTACATTCCAGGGTCGCTGCATTTTGATATGTGTCAGATAGCTTTCCAAAAAAGTGTGATTCGCGTATTTTTGACGTTGATTAGAAATAATTTCAGACCCGTAGAAAACTTTGAAACTTTAAAAAATAGTGCTAAAGTGATTCTAGGATTAGAGCAGGAAATACACAAGATGAACCTGCAGCATCCAGTCGTGTCCAGAATTAAGGACCTAGAAGAAAAGAAACCTCACTAATGGCATGTAAAGGGACACAGGGGCCAATGGGAAGAGCCTCTAGTGGCCAAAGCTGAACGCAATTTGAGCACCAATTTGAGCAATAAAACAGTGCAGCATTGGTTATACCCAAAATGGTGAGAACAGACATACCTGTACAGAAGTCCAATAGTTTCCGTAGATGCTCTGCCTTCAGGGAAGCATATCCCCTCCTTCGGTGTGGCTGCCAAGTGGCTTCCTTCCAAAGAGGACAGTAGAGGAGGGGCAAAGACTGACGACCACAGCAGCCGGTGATGAGTCAGCATCAGCAGTGACGAGTCATGTTGGCAGTGAGTCTGATATGCAGTGAGAATGGTACCCTGTCTCTGTGGCCTTCCTCTCTGGAACAGATGCCCCAGTCTAAAAGAAAACACCGGGCAAATCCCAGCTGAGGGATGTTTTACAAAAGACCTGGCCACTAGTTCTCAACGCTGTCGAGGTTCAAAACAAGAAAAGCCTGAGAACAGCCAAGAAAAGCTTTAGGAGACAAGGAGACTAAGTGTAATGTATCCTGAATGAGGTCCCGGAACAGAGAAAGGACATTAGGTAAATGGGAAATCTGAATATAAGGCATGGACTTGAATAACATTTCTATGGCTCATTGAATTGTGACAAATTACCACACCAATGATGTATAAGGCGTTAATAGGGGAAATTGGGTGCGGGGTACTTGGGAACTCTACTGTGTCTGCCACTTTTCATAAATCTATTTTTTATTTTATTTTAAAAAGTACAAGTAATTCTCGTCTCCCCTTCACGCGATTCCCCACAGTGTTTCACATTTACTCTGTTCCCCCCCCCTCCACATTTACATATCTATCCTATAATGAGAACTTTGTCTTCACCACAATCCGGTGATCAAGGTCAGGAAGTTAACAGTGAAACAATGTTCTCCTCAGACCTTAATCAGATTTTGTGGTGGTCACACTAATGTCCTTGTGCACCAAAAAGGAAACAATTTCCTGGCTAGTGACTCAGTCCAGGCTCGCTGCTGAATCCAGTTGTCAGGTTTGAAGCTTACGGGCAGTTATTTTGCAGAATGTCCCTCAGTGAGGGATTACTGCCTGTTTCCTGGTGGCTATATTCAAGCTATTTTTGACAGGAATTCCCAGAAATGATGTGCCCTTCTCAGTGCAACTTACCAGGAGGAATCTGAACATCCCATTAGCGGTGGTGACTAATCCCGTGGTTAAGGTGGCGTTTGTCAGGTGTCTCCACTATCAAGTTACAACGTCCTCTTTGTAGTTAGTGTCTTGTATAGAGACACACGGGGAATGTAAATATGCAGGTTCTCACCACAAGCTCACAGACGCCCTGAGCCAGGCAGGTGCCTGATGTGTTTCAGAACCACAAGGAGGACAAGGTGTCTCAGGTGGAGTGAAGGAGATGGAGGGCAGAAGGAAATGAGGTTAGAGAGGTAACAGCGGGATCTTGTGGTGAAGGAGCTGGGTTTACTGCATGTTTGACAGGAAGCCATTGGTCCAGCATCTCACGCTTCTATCTGCTTGCGTTGCCAGCCTCTCTGACTTCTCAATGCCTCCAAGTAGCAAGCTCTTTCCTACCGCAGGGCCTCTGCTCAGGCTGTTCCCTCCACGTGGGGTAGCTCCCCTGTCTTTGCTTTCCTGGCTCCTCCTCCTTCCAGGTTTCAGCTCCAACGTCACCTCAAAGAGGTCCTTCCAGACAGCTACCTCTAAATTACAAACCCAGCCTTTCCACTCACTCATAACAGATATTTACTGAGTACTCTGTGCCCAGCTGTGTTCTAGGCACTGGGAACAGCGATGAAAACAGACCCGCCCTGCTCTCATGGGTTCACGTTCTAGTGAGGACGGAGACAGTGAGGCAGTTCGTGCTGAGGAGAGAATAAGTATCGAGATGGGGAAAGAAGTGTTCAGGACGATGCTTTTCATGGAGAGGGTGACATCTGAGTAAACACCTTAAAGCAGCGGTTCTCAACCTGTGGGTCTCGACCCCTTTAGGGGTCGAACGACCCTTTCACAGGGGTCGCCTAAGACCATCCTGCATATCAGATATTTACCTTACGATTCATAACAGTAGCAACATTACAGTTATGAAGTAGCAACGAAAATAATTTTATGGTTGGGTCACAACATGAGGAACTGTATTTAAAGGGCCAGAAGGTTGAGAACCGCTGCCTTAAAGGGAGTGAGGGGCATGTGAGGTAAGAGAACTTCAGGCAGAGGAACAGCCAGCGCAAAGGCCGAGGTGAGGCTGAGGAGGAGCCAGAGGATGAGCCAGGAGGCCAGTGTGGCGGGAGAGGGAGGAATGAGGGAGGTTGGGTTAGGCGATGAGCTCACAGGTGTAAGCTCACCTGTGGGAAGATAATGTAGAACCGCATGGACTTTCACTTTGAGGGGGGTGGGAGCTGCAATGGAGTTCTGAGCAGAGGCCAAGTGAGACCTGACTGACTAGGTGTGCACAGGATCCCTGTGCATGTCCGGGCACAGGGAGAGCAGCGAGGAGCTGCGCACTACAGGCCCAGCCCATCGCTGGCGACTTCTCCCCGTCACCCGCGCTCTGGGCCTAAGGCGGCGGCAAGGGGATTTGCTCACCCCTGAGTTCCCACTGCCCAGAGCACAGAGGCCTTCTCTAAATGGTTGTGAAGCGACTTGTAGCTCCTATGTACTAAGCTTTGATTCTGTTAAGCCCCGAGCTGGCCACTTAACACACAATCTTATAAAATCCTCGGGACAACTATCAATTGAAACAATCCCTACTTCATAGCTGAAGATCGTGAGGCTCCAAGGGACTGCTCCTCGCCACGTGGTAAGTGGAGGATGAGAGCTTGGCTCCAGCTGCCTGACCTTAGAGCAGTAGTCCTATTCGCCATTGACCACGCACCTGCCCACCTGCCCAGGTGAAGCTTACTCAGCGCGCATGCGCCCAGCCTTGTTTAAAGCGCGGCGGCCACGGATCCTCGCTCCAGTAGGAAGAGGTGGGCTCTTGGTTTCGCCCTCGACGCCAGCCTAAAAGATGCTGGTGAGCTACAGGAGCCTGGGTCCCCTCCCAGCGGGACGCTCCGGGCGCTGACCCAATCCTCCCTTGCAGAGTCCGGCAGCCGCCCTTGGCCCAGAGCCTGCGAGCGCCCCAGTCCCGGACAACGTCCCCGCGGGCACGAGCGCCTCCCCAGGACCCCCGGAAAGGC